GGCCCGTTCTGAAGTGTTTAAACTCATCCAAACACCCGTTCCTCGGTAACCCTGTCGCAAGAATGAATATGTAAAATATATAAATATCTCGATGAAAGTAATTGTTTCTTTAAACCTGAACGTCTTAGCTCCTTAATCAAACATCAAGTGGGACTATCGGGGTCAGTCTCAGAAGCCCATAAAATCATCATGTGCTGAGGTCGCCGTATGAAGTCATCACAGGTAGTGGCAAGTTGGCTGCTCATGTCGTGACACACTGCGGTGACGCAATAACATGAAAGTGACACTTGGTCAAAGACAGGCCGATCGTAGAGAAAGTGCGAAACCAAGCGAAGTGCAGATGGCTTGTAATGAGCCCCGATTGCTGAAGACGCTGCAAGATCACGTATAGCGTACAGGACGTTTTCAGCAGACGCCGGGAGTGAATTAAGGGCGTGCGAACGTTAACCAATACAATCAGCACAGAAAAAATTAGGCTTTCGCCTTTGAATCGTCTCAAGTAAATTAATTACAGACCTAATAATTTTTTTTTTGGTTGTTACAGCAAGAGCTAGTTCTGAGACCACCAGAAGGTCCGATTTCGGCACTGTAGGTGTCCGAAACCATTACCACGTCAAATAAAAAAACTAAATAAATAAAAGATTGAGGAGATAATGGGAATCCAAGCCGCGCCCTCTCGGTAACACAGTCAAACACAAGCGAAGCTTGTGCTTGAATATTCATTGCAAAATGTCCCTACGCAGGCTTCATCTCACGTAAGCGTCAGACATAATTCTTCGTCAGCCACAGCATGAACAAAGTGTACATATGTAGTACGAGTGTATAGTGATTAGCACGCTTTTCTGAAGACTGACAAATAATGGCAGACTGGAGGCATCCGCACTGTCCCAAAAATAACTATTTATGTAGTATTGGGCACCATGCAAGTGTGCTTGTAGTAGTTGCCCCAAGAGAGTGGTTAAAATTAGTGTAACTGTTTCTTTATTTTATTTTTCGCAGTTTTTCGGGCACTAAATGTATACAACAATGAGTAGCCAGAAACCGCTCAGTGGCGTGAAAAGGTACTTTTTTCTCTCTTTTTTTTTTTTGTTTTAACAGCGCTGCAGTTCTCTCCGGTTCGCCATAAGTCTGAGAGGCCTTCACTATTTGCGTGTGGTTGCACGGGTCAGGCAAATTACTCTGGCCCGCTTCTGACTCAACCAAGCGAGCAACTTGCGACCGATTGGGAGTCGGCAGCCTCCACGACAAGTAGGGCCACTTGGAAGCGGCAAATCCATTCCCGATCCCCGGTAGAAGGGACAGGCTCGACCCTTGACTGTGCACCCATCTGTAGGCAACGGCAACCTGGGTCTCTGCTACGCCGCGGTAGAGAGACACGCTTTTCGAACAACGCGCCTCACTACCTACCAGGTTTCGCAGAAGCGTAACTTCGTCCGCGAGCCTGGTGGTTAGTCTTCGAGCTAAAGGTCAATTTAGGTGATCTGTATTCGAGTTGTGTAACATTGGTTCCGATATGTCGTATGCGCCCACAGACTGGCATCGCATCGCCTAGAAGGAAATAAGGAGGGGGGGGGGGGGGGCAGCTTTCCTTCAAATTGCTTCAACTTTGCATGTGTAAATACAAAAATGCGCGCAAGAACGTACACATAGTATTGATTATTACCATCTCCTTATCTCCCAGGAACTTGTTGACCTTCTAAGTTGTGCGGAATCATGGCAGACCGAAGCACAGAAATGGCCACCAGTGATAAATTGGGGGCTTTTAATCTTCGTATTTGAGAGCTGAACGCTATAGCGATGTCCTGTTCCTAGTGCCTACTTCAAGTACTTGGTGAAGTACTTTTGTTTTGAACTTGCAATGAGCCCAGTACGTTGCCTTAAGGTAATAGGCGCCGCAACGCGCTGGATTTGAACCACGAAGTCGTTGTGGTATAATCTCGTGTTCTGATGCCTGAAGGAAATGTACGCTTGTGCCATACAACGCATTATAACTGTGATAGTGCATCTCGCATTGTGAAGCATGTATACAGGATGCGTGTGGTTGTAAAACATGGAAGTTACTTTCAATTAATTCTCCAGCAAATGAAGTTATTTTCATAACAGTGAAAAAAAAACATGACTCTGTGGTAGAACACTTGTTCGCTACGCAAACTACCCGGATAGGAATTCACGCTCACACCCAACATTTTCATTGTTTATTTTATTTTCATCTTTCTTATTTTTTCTGTCACGCACAAGTTGAGCAATTTTCACTCACAACCAACAAAGCCGACGCTGACGCCGACGCTCGAATTTCCGCGAAACGAGTTCTTTGATGCTATCGCGTTAATAAGGCACACAAGTTTGTATGCGCTTTGTACAACACAGATGTGCCATTTGCAAGCTTCCCATTTGCTGCAGCACATTCGATATCGTGAAATCTAGAAGGGGCATGAACATTCGCTTTATGAGCATGCGCTTCTTCTCGAACTAGCTGGAGCGTTTAACTTGGCAATACGCCACCGCAGCTCCGAAGCCTCTGGCCTTGGTCATCCCTGACTGCGATTACTGGCAGAAAAATGATCAGATCGAGAGCGTGATACTGTACAGCCCGCGACTATGCAATCACGCAAGAACGATGGCCGTGTCATTTCACCATCAGATTCAGCTACCTAGGTCGAACTTGAGTTCATTTCGACGCGATGCTGACCTCTCGGCTCCTTCAACACTTTTTGCGCACACTCGCAGAAGGTTGTCACATCTTCTTTATGGTCCTAATTTTTGTTTTTTTACGGTGCACACGTGTTACAAATCTACAAAGACTTGGCATTGTTTCAAGAAAACATTGATGGTCAGTAGCGCTTCTTGATGTCTTTTTTCTGCATACCTGTGCTTTTGCTGTTACCTCACAAAACTGTACGTACTTTGAAGAAATAATATATCTACAAAGTTTCAATGTGTCTTTCGTCTTTGTGACAATTTTACACGTGATTTCTACTTAACGTCAGTGTAGATCTTACTTTTTTTAATGTGGTGCTATTTAAGCGGAATATTTATCTGTGTGTGAAAAATGATAGGTGTAACCTTAAGAGACAAGAAGAGAGCAGAGTGGATTAGGGAACAAACGGGGGTTAAGGACATCACAGTTGAAATAAAGAAGAGGAAATGGACATGGACCGGGCATGTAGCGCGTAGACAGGATAACTACTGGTCATTAAGGGTAACTGACTGGGTTCCCAGAGAAGGCAAGCGGGTTATCGGGAGACAGAAGGTTAGGTGGGCAGATGAGATTAAGAACCTTGCGGGTATCAATTGGCAGCAGCAAGCCCAAGACCGAGTTAACTGGCGGAACATGGGAGAGGCCTTTGTTTTGTAGTGCAAGTAGTCAGGCTGATGATGATGATGAAGGTGATGATGATGATGATTTATTTGTGCAGGGCACACAGAACATATCGTCATCATGAACTGGAACGCGTCCTTTTCGTCCTCCTTGCCCACTTCACCATCTGCTTCGCTCCCGAAACACGTGCGCCATTTTGTCCGGCATGGGATAGATAACTACGATGCGTGAGAGAGCGATTACACAAAGAGTGAAAGAAAAAGGTGTCAGGCCACCCAAAACCGCGCTTCCTTCAGGCACGGCACCAGTATATATGGCTTGAATTTTTGAGGTGTTCAGAAACTTTCTTTTTCCCTTGATGCTGACAAAAGGGTTCTCAAAGCTTGGTAAACAAAAGAAAATCTTCGCATTTGAAGCTTCTCCAGCAAGTTTAATTGCCCTTTTCTGTGCGGCAAATCGAAAGTAAAACGCCAGGCCTGCGCGAAAGGTGCAGCACAGTCACAGCGAAAGCTAAAAGAGCGACATTTCAGAGTCTCTTTGAAGCGCTCATTGGGTAACTGCTGCTAGCACACTGGCTGGGTACCCACTACGACATGATTAATAATAATTTCTTGCTAGTAGGCCGGTATTCGCTATGCTATCTTTCATCATTCTTTTGAGAAGCGTGATATCCGCTGAACACTTGCAAAGAATTTTGTGCCAATCGTTCATGCAGTGGGTGACGACGGTGAGGAATTATGCCTGAAGTGGGTATGTGCCACAGTTAGTAGGTGATCAAGAACAAGCTTTTGTACTGGGTTGAAGTATTGGATGACCCACTCGTTACGCTATTTACACTGTGTGACACCTGTTTGTTATTGTTCTATTCTCGAACGCTTCATTATATAGCGCGATTCGTTTCCCGACATCGGGCCTGCCTAAGACAAGTTTCCGAACAAGTCCCAAGCACCAGCGTGGCTCAGTGGTATAATATACTGGGCTGGCACGCAGTGGACCCGGCTTCAAGCCCCACTACGTCTTTGGTAGTAGTTTTTTTTTTCTTTATTCGTGGGATAGTAGTTATGGACACCGGGGGCGGCGGCGGACAACTTACGGTGCCGCGCGTGACCCGTGTTGTGATCTCACAACAGCTTTCGCCGTAAAAAAGAGAAAGTAAGGACGCATCAAGATAGAAGGCAGGGAGGACAACCACAAAAACTTCCGGTTGGCCACCCTACACTGGGGGATGATTGAAGGGAATAGAAACATGAGAGATATAGGTGAAGAGCCGAGGAACAAAAAGAAAGGAAAAGAAATTGAACCAGCTGCGCGTAGAAAAATAAGGTGAAGCAGCAAATCTGTTGCCTTACAAAGAAACTTTTGTTTCGCCAATAACTTTTGCTCGTTGAATGGCGTGGAATTTGAACGAATTAGATTTGAGTCAAGTGGACTGGATGAATGGGGTGGACTTTTTTGAATACAGTGGGAGGAGTGATTGTAGTAGTATAGAATGACCTTAGGACATAAAATAAAAGCCTCGGCTAACTTCATATATATATATATATATATATATATATATATATATATATATATATATATATAATATATATATATATATATATATATATATATATATATACACTGCAGCGCTCTGGGCAACACCACAAGTCACAAGTGAAAGTACCTGCCCCTTGGTTCGCAGGTTCGACTCTCTAAGCGGACTGACCTTCGGTGGCGACCACGGTGGCCTCGGCAAGCGCGGATACGGTCACGGCGAGTTCGACGAGATCGACCACGCCGGGTGGCCGGGTTTCTACAAGCGAAACTTCGACGAGATCGACAGGACCGGCTTTGAGGGCTTCTACAAGCGCTCGGCCCGGGAAGAATGAGCGCCCCGAAGACGCGGGCACTGTTCCACCTGCCTCACCACACGTCATCCCTCAGTCGTCGCCACCTGTCAATCACTTTAGGTGCGTACAAAAAAAAATCACTTATGAAAGCCAGTATCCCGAAAGTAATACACAGTGTTAAATTTGCATTCGCTTAAGACTCGCAGGTGACAGCTATTGAATGTCGCTATTTCACCGAGGACTTACCTCGGAGGCTACTTTGTTGATTTAAGTCACCAGAAAGCGGCAAGGGTGTAGCTAGCGCACGCAGCTAAGCAAGAAGCGTATAGGCTACACGCTTGACTTAAGCGCGAAGTAAGAGCGGTGAAGCGTAAGTGGGATGAGTGGTTGCCAGTGAGTGCCGCCATGACACCGGTGGCAGCAGCACTTGTCGTGCAGACGAAGCGAGTGACGTAATTCTTCCACTTACCTTCAACTCGGGCTAAGGATGGAATACACAACTCTAGTATTCATCTAGGAGTGCACATGTCTACACCTCGAGAACCATTTGTTTGACTCTATTTGTATCGAAGCTATATACAACCTGTGGTCTAAGCATCCCCTTAGAATAATAACACATGTAGCGAGAGAGGAAGACGGGCCGGCGGCCAACGTGGTCGTGTCGTTCTCTCGCCACTTTATATCCAAGGCGATTTGCCAAAGCGGAGCAGCGGTAGCTGCAGCGTCCAAACCACCAGGCCAGAAGCTCGTTTTAATCCTCGCGCAGCTCGAGCTAGCATCAGCTGCGCGAGAAACACGGCGCGGTGATCAAGAAATGATTATGGGGATGATGGCACTACACACATATTACACGCGGTGAGAATAATCTTCACTGTTTGAGTGTCCCACAAAAAATTCATTTCTTATGTTCACTTACGATGGAACTATAAAAAGTTTACCGAGTTTACTGGGCTTTTAGGGAGTAAGTGACTCTTATTATTAGGGTTTCATAAACTATTAAGTGGCCTAACTAAAGTTTTTGTTACTCATCCTAATTTTCACTAACTTACCCTATATGATTGTTAAATAGAACCAGAAATACATTTTATTATTGCTTTTTTGTTTATCAGCCCTATTACAATCTTGCCATCTAATCCCCTCACCCCTTCCCCCAGTGCAGGGTAGCAAACCGGACGTGCATCTGGTTGACCTCCCTGCCTTTCATTTCTTCCCTTCCTCCTCCTCCTCTTGTGGCACTATTTATAGTGGTCACGTGATCACAACCTCTCCGGTGTACGCTAACGCAGATGGAAAATCACATTTATACAGCTAGAGCTATATTAAATGTGATTGATTGATTGATATGTGGGGTTTGATATATGATTATATATGATTGATATATGATTATGAGAGACACCGTAGTGGAGGGTTCTGGAAATTTCGACCACCTGGAGTTCTTTAACGTGCACCCAATTCTGAGCACACGGGCCTACATTTCCGCCTCCATTGAAAATGCAGCCGCCGCCGCCGGGATTCCATCCCGCGAACTGCGGGTCAGTAGCCGCGTACCTTAGCCACTAGACCACCGTGGCGGGGTGATATATTAAATGTGTCAACGTATCCGGTATTATTGATCCCCCATAGTTCCCTGCTGATCCCAAGTCACCTGCTATGTTTCTACCACAGCGCCGAAATTATAAATGACCGGAATTAACAAACCTTCAATGAATAATACGCGTGTTTGGGAATATGTAAGGATTATTCAGGAGGCCGCTGTTATAGTGTTTCTCATAGTAATTGTGTTGTGAAAAAAATTTGATTATTTTAGTACTTGTTTATGAGTGAAACAATAAAAAGGCATATGTGCAGTGGCATCCTTCTAACAAATAGTAATTTTTCCTTCTGCTAACTGCGTTGACTGAGTGACTTTCTACGTGTACACTGTGCGTGCATAAGCCAAACTTGACGCTTGAAGCACGTCACTAGAATGGCCTACGAAATGATGGATCGGGAGCATTGGCAACACGTCCATTTTTTCCCCCTTTACATTTTATCAACTTTTCTTGCCACATTCCGCTATAACTCTGGGCTACCAATGAGATCACTACAACCAGCTGCATTTCATTGTTTCCTAATACCGACGACAATGTTTTTTTTTTTTTTTTAGTATTCCACAAGTATCTCTCTTCTTTGATATTTAAGGGATTGCAGCTTCGATGATGTCCTCGTATACATGTCGATATCACGTGTGTCTAAAGGAATGTTATAATTGGGGATTTCAGGCCGATGCTCTGATGATATTATTCATTATTGTTGGTGTTTAACGTCAAAAAACCTTAATATGATTAATAGCAGCGCCGTGATGAAAAGCTCCGGAAATAGAAAACACGTGAGGTTCTTCTGCGTGCGCCGAAATCTAAGTACGCGGAATTCAAGCACTCTCGCCGCCATGGGAAATGCGAGGCGCCTGCAACGAATTCAGATTAACCTGGCAGCTGGTAAGGCCAGCGATAAACTCAGACATGAAGGTCAACATCAACAACAGAACATATGCGAGTTCACTCTTATAGCTCTGTAAGATATGGCGCGTGTATGCGCGTCCCCGATGCTGCAAGTTATCGTTCTAGGGCTTTCCATTTGCGGATTTCACGGCCACCATGGTCATTTTCTGCTAATGCTGAGACCCCTAACATTAGGGTAGCATATATTGTTGTAAAAAGAAATCATACACTATATCCAGGTTTAAATAAAGAAAAGGTAATACAGACAGTTTGTTTCCAAGGACCGGGTACTAAAAAGGACCGGGTACTGTGGCGGCTACACGCATGTCACCCATAATTCAACCTGTGTGGCAAATGATGGCCGGTCGCCGACTTCGATGCGGCTACGAAGAAAAGCGGGTCGCACGGATGCAATACTCGGATCCGCTTGCATCATACACGCTCGGCGTCTGCGCAACAGGGTGATCGTGGTCATAATCTCTCCCCCGTGAATCAAGGTTGACAAATCTCCCGGTTCGCAGCCGGAGGGAATCATGTCATTAACACGTGCCCTGTGTCCAGCCGTCATTTTTACTTTCTCTTTCATCACCGACACAAAGGTTGGCTAATCAGGGAAGAATGGAAAAGTCTGGCGATAACAGTGTATCATTTCTGACTGCAAGCACGGACCCCCTTGGCTCGCGCAAAGGCTTACAAAGGTTACTCCGTGCGCGTTAGAGGTAGGCACGTTCGAACTACGAGCTCACGTAAACGCAGTTTACCGCCACTGCGCCATCGTGCGTGTAAGGAGGCGCGCCTACGTATCTGAACGTCCTACGTCGAAAACTGCGCGCTATTCAAGCGCGGCCTAAAGCTTCACTATAGAGGCGAGCATTCTGCTGTGCTTTAGCGCACCTCGGAGGGCCGTGGATAACGACTCTCGACGTAAGTGTTCAGGTCAGGCCTGACTCTTGAGGAAGACAGAAGGAGAGGGTGCTAGAATTTAACAGATAAAGCAAGCACCACTAGCTACTACTTCCGTTAACTCTCCCTTCTCTCTCACTTGAAAACGAAGAAGAGCATGGCGTCGATGACCTCGCTCGCGTAAGGTCTGAGCGATGCCCCGGGGAGTCGTCCTATACGGGAGGCGCGATCAGACACGAGGGCTGCTCAGGCCCATCGCCGTCTCTCCCGCATCGCTATGAATACGCTCTCCAAATGCCAACGCACCCCGCAGCACGTCGCGACCATCGTGCTTAGCTGTCTCGGCTTCTGCCTCCCTTTCTACCTCGCGAATTTCTTTTCCTGGCTACGTGTTTTCAGTTGCACGCCAGCATGTTTTTCACAAAAAAAGGCACGCGATAGAAAAAACGTATATCGCTGTCGAGAGACAAGGACCTCGTAAACATAGGATCCAGGCCATAGAGCACGAACATGTTCTCTATGTTTGTTAATCACGATATGTGCTCTGATCCACGAGAGCGCACGCACAGTCTGTCTTTCCCAGCAATATATCGAAGGGAGCTGATATCAATAACGACGTAAAGACGTAAAAAAAGGCCAGACCTTCTCTGGGGAAGCTGTATAATTCAGTTTCTCACACATTGGCGCTCGAGTAAGCGTTCGCGCAAACGTGAGACCAATGTTGGTGACGCTCATCGTGCGAATACAGCAACTGGCATTATTACGGTGGCTGCGAAGTATTCGTTCTGACAGGTCCGGTTTAGATGACATGTCGGAGGTTTATGATTTGATCCTTCGTAACACCCCTTTGATTCACTCGCATTCGGCCAAGCTCGTCGAACCAAGAGCCGCAAAACTTGTTTCCCGTTCACTGAAGCCAGCAAGCAATGTGAAGCGTGGTTCTTAAATGGCACCAATCTGATTACGAGCATGCAAAATGGTGCATCCACCATAAAACGAGTGTCTTATGCGTAGTTGTAGCGAAATCTCTAATGTGCATCCTGGCTTCTTCCGACCACCTCCGATGCGACATGGCGGTTTTTCCATTAAGCTCTGTTCGCTTGCTTTTCCACTCAATAGTAGTGGTTCTGGTCTGGCATGAGGCGGCCTTACCATGGCATACAGAGCCGACAATGTTTCTCCAGAGGGCCTCAGGGAATTCGTAGCATGAGTGTTTCACCAGTGGTTGTTTGCAATGTATAATATACTCATAGTGAACAATGTTATCAAGTTCTCTAAGGAAACTTACAGCACTCACGTGTGCGTATGAACCACTGACTACGTTAACCGTAGTCAGCTGAAGTACCCAGCAATGTATTCGAAAAACACGCCAAAACAACCATGGGATAACCGATCATTGTTTAACTAGCAATAGCGAAGCACCTTTTGAAGAATGATTCTCAAAGTTTAGTTTCAAGAGGCCGTCTTTTTTTTAAAGCCTACGTTATCCTAAGTGATCACGCTTCTCGTATGTAAGAGTTAACTGATTTACGACCTTAATTGAGCTAGCACCTCTGCAAACTTTTGAGCTCGATTGCCTTCAGATGCGTCGCCCGTCTGCAAACACCTACCCTGCTATCTTGCATCCTTGTCGCGTGGGTCACCCCAGTAAACTACTGTTACGCTCAAACTTCGAAAAAAAATCATGTTCTCTCACCACTTGATTATAAATATGTGATTTGAGAGGTAGTGACGTAATTCGCGCTGGTGCCACTGCGCAAGCCATCAAAGTCGCCTTCCCTAGTGCCAACTTTTCGCGTTCCAACCGAGGGACGCGAAATGAATCAGCCCTTTGTAAAACTGATGACGCCGTCTCCAAACGCGTGCGGACTATAGTATCTGACGATGGGCCTTCCGAAATGCCGTGGTATATGATCAGAACTCCGCTGCAGTACAAGAATCTGGCCACATTTTTTTTAGTTTGATATCCCTCAATGACCTGCCTGATCAAGCGCAAAAGTGGCCTTCGACGGAAACACGCGTGATCTGAAAAATCACGATCCCGCGAGGATGGCCCTATATCTCCTCATCATGGTGCCTCCGTTCGCCCAAGTTTGTGATATCAGACAATGTGGAATTACGTAACGTGACGTCACATGGTCGTGTCATATTCTGGTACCTCGGTTCTTGGAGGCAGCGTAAAGCCACGTCGGATGTAGAAAACTTTCAAGGTGGCCAGGGATCAGCATAGTTGACTGAGAAGAAAAAGAAGGCTTACGCCTTCGAGTCATTTTAGGCAAATGCCCAAGGGACCACGCGAGTTTTCTCCATCGACCTACGGGGCCGTAGGCTATAAAGGCCAATAGCTGTCCCTGATCGATATCGCGGGAAGAGATGCCCGTATCACTCATCCGGTGCTTCCCTTCCCCCCACCCCCTCCGTCTGCAAAAACCAATTGCAGCTTGCCCCGTTTTTCAGCAATTTCACTGAGCACGCGGCTTTCTATAGATAAATCGGCTTCGAAGGTAATCTCGCGCGCCAGACATCTCACCTCTTCTCCTGCCTATCGAAACTTTTTAAAGCTGATACCGGAAACTGATATCGTTTCCTGTTTCCCGTCGCACGCACCACACTCACGCTTTTGCGTTGCAATTGCCGCATTGTAGAGAGTGTGTCTCCTTAAAACGAACAGCAACGCCAACACCATCAATCTTCTTGCGCATTGAAATCGTTTGCATTGTCTTTTCTTGTTTTTCAAGTCAGCACTCATTTTTCCACGCTGTCTTCGCGTATGATGAGTTTTCTCCACTTCGCCCTTACTTGTCGCCCTGCATTCCTTGGCACAAGTATTGCGCGAAGTCTTTGTGAAAAATATACGTGTTTTGTTGCTTTGCCTTTCAACGTACTTCTATGAAGTTTATTTCTTTTCTATGCTATAGAAAACCGAAAATTGGATAGCACATTCGCAATAACATTTCAGCACTGACCTTAAGCTTGATTGTTTGCTTCTGCGTGTGGGCTTGGGTGTTCTCAATTGCTTCGGCATGATAATACGTCAGCCAGTTGCACAACCCAAAGCGTCAAACGCAGCAGCCCATCATCCCATATCGCTGCTTCCGCTGTTCAACGCTTGTTTTGCTTTCGACCGGCTCGCTATCCTGCAGCTACTATAATAGACAAAATAGTCAATGGGGTCACCCGAGAAAATTGGATTTTTGTATAACTATCTCTAACATGAAAATTGATGTGCAAAGCGAATAAAAAGGTACAAAAACTAAACTCGGACGTTCAAGAGACTCACCTCTTCCTTGAGAGAGCCGTGTGCTTGGTAGACACTTGAATATTACTATCACAACTTCTCATTTCTAAGAAAAAAAATTAAGAGGCCACTTCGATTTTCAGGAAGAACCGTAAAAATGAATACAATTTCGGCACTGCTTAAACTCAGGATTTAAGACTAGATGTTCACAAAAAGCGAAGCAACGCCATCAAACCCTGTTGGAGGACGACAACGTTCAGTGTCTCCACTTAATGTCCTGCGGTGAGGGGTGAATTACAAGTTCATTTAACTCTCCCGATTTTTTTTTTTTTTCGAGGTGCAGTGAAGATGGGAGACTCAAAGAGAAAATGGGCGATGGTTTCTCGTTCTCGTCTATGCGCTAATTGCGTGCGAGACAGTTGGTCATTCTGTTCTGAAATGAGTTGCCATTCGTGAAGGCCACTCTAAGCCGCTCACGGCAATAAGCGTTCTCCAGCTATAGGTATCATCGACGGAGAATGGAGCTGTATATACATAAGATGACCACCGGTCGATATATTCGATCGTAAAGCTCACATGCAGCAAACGAAGCTGTGTAGCGGCGTATGTGAACGATAACAGTCAAGAAAGTTGCGCATCAATAAACCTTGATTAACGGGATTTCAGCTCACCAGTTTCTTAGTGCACACGTTCTCCATATTGCTACATCGAACATCTCTCCGACGTGTGGAATAATCAAAACATGCGTGTTCATGAAAAAATTTCTTGGTAGTTGCTGCACTGCACAGGGCGAAACACCACGTAAGTTTGCGGCTTCAAAACTGCGCTTCTTTACCTTTCGCCTTCGAGTATAACACGAAAGCTTTGCCGGCCTGGCATGGCGGGAAGAAAATGTTAAAGAAACTGCCAACGTTCAAACATTACAAACACGTTATACGCATTTCCGGTCACAACACCGGGAGCTAGAGCTTTCTATAGCTGTGATAATTGTGATCCGATGCACCCGGATCACAATTTTCTCAGTCATATGCTCTGCCTTGACCACCTGTGTTCGAAACAATGACGTCATTCACTTTCCCAGCCTGTGCGTGCAGCTTTTCGAAGAATCTGGCAATGAGCAGAGATGCGAACCTCGGAAAGGGTGCTCCGCGGACCATCGACCTTGCCCTGCCCGGAATTTCCCCGATTACCGTTGTGAACTTGGTCACTTATAATTAAGAGTTCATTAAATCAAGCTCGCGGTTGGATTCCATCAGAAAACATTGTCCTGCGAAACAGTTTTCGAGGAGGAGAGAGAGAAGGAGGAGGAGAGGGTAGAAAGGAAGGACAGGGAGGTTAGCCAGTTCGTGAACCAGCGTGCTACCCTTTGTGGAAACCAGTGTTTGTTCTTACAATATACGTCAGCACACGTGTGAGCATTTCATAGGTGCACACGTGTGTCTAATTTGCGTGAAAGTGCCTTTTCTAGACAAATATTTATACTATACCTCGTGGCGATTTACACAGAGCCCAATCAGTCGCCTGGCGACAGCTGCAAATGAACACTTGTCCTAATAAACGGTTATATCAGCGAATATAACCTGACATCTATAGCACCTGCATCTGCAAGGTCTACCAGACAGACACAGCTACGCTACAAGCACATGCTCTCAGAATGCGAGGCCAAATTGAAAATTATTAGTCCCGATGCTGTTTCGGCGAGGTGGGAAGCCGCTCTGCGGAGCTCCAAACTAGCCGACTGACTCCTGGGCAGTCGTCCATGAAGCGGCGAAGGGACAGGGCTCTGACGTCTCGACATCGGAGAGCTGAGTCCGGGCCGTTAATCTGCCTGACAATTGATAAAGTTTTTCATCCATAGCAATGCCCTGGAAATGTGTGATTGGTTGCGCTCTCGTGTGCTTACTATATAGGGGTCCTCCTCATCGGCTTCTTTCTGAAAAAAACATCATTCGCGCTGAGAGCCCGTGCTTTGTCGTGACTGTCGCCAAGGCTGAATTGTCGCAGAGTACGGTCAAATAAAGGCTTTAACAATATATCTACTTTGTTTTAGTCACTGGTAATCCGAAAGTATTTCAATATACTACTGTACGGCCGATGCGATATATATGTATGTATGTACTGGGAGGCAACGCACAGGTTGTAAACGCTAAAACGTTTAAATGGGGGCTCTAGGAGGTACACAAACGCAGCGCCAAATTCCTCCGTACGTAGGTAAACAAAACTCTATTGATAATCATGAAAGGCACCTGTGGGAAATCGATATCCATAATTTTCTGGCTTTCTACATTTCATAGTAATATGTACGTGGCCTAGCAATACATTATGATATAATAAGACACTATTTAGTTTATAATAAATTGTAATGTAGTATATCATATTGTACTTGAATATGTTTATTTATCTAAACTCGCAATATTTATCGTATGAGGTTCTCAATTGCATGGTAGTAACATCCGTGCAAATTTTCCACAATTTCACAATTGCAAGACAAGCTTGTTTCGTTAGTGTTGTTGCATTGTTACCGATTTCCGACCAATAGCATTCTCGCTTTTCACCGTAATTTTCTGCTTTTGGTGAATTTGCACACGTTTATTTTTTTTAATATAATAGGCATTATAAGTGGGCCTTCTATAGTACCTGACAAAATGTAGGCACGTGGCACGGTGGGATACCTTATCGGTTGGATATTCCAGCATTACATACACTGACTGTCTGTAGCGCAACCTTAATTATGGCGTGAAAAGAAGGCGTCTAACATTAACTCTTTATCGTGCTCTGTCTCTGTTTTCCACGCAGGCTACCCCTCATCGTTCCTGCTTCAGCACCTCTTCCATTCGTAGCTCTCCATTCCAGCTCGTCGTCAAGGAACTACCACTCATAGACCAAGGATACGAACCCACGCGGGTCAATTGCAACAACCCTGAAGTTTAGCCAGACTGCTCCTTGTGCCGCTTCTTTTCAAGCTATAGCATAGGCTCAGTCACAATGGCGTCGGCTTTACTAAATCTGTAGCTCCGAGCCCAACGCCAAGCACATGCCGAATATATGTGTTTTTTTTAGGGCACAGCCTATATAGCACCATCACCAACCACCCCCTTCATCGTTAGCTATACTTTGATTAACTCCTCACGTGATCGATGTTTAACTTCACTCCCTTTCTATAGCACGCACATACTCGTGCTCAGAGTCCTCGCCACCAGCTATGTCGCCGCAATCGCCGCGTGCACCTCTTCTTGTGCAAATCACCTGCTGCCCACTCCCATTATTTTCGGACGCAGCGCTAAACGTGAGTCACACGGTGGTTAATGCGTGGGTAAGCTGCCATTCTTTTGCATAGAGTGGCAGCTTCCCTATACGAGCCATATACGAAGCTAAGAGAAACGATGGAACGTAAGGTAAACGAACCCAAAGCTCCTGGTGATGAATACTTTTGAGAAGAGAACCGAGTTTTTTCTTGCAATAAAAGCCTGTCTATTCCTGTCTCGGCTGTACCTTCTTTTTTATAGATTCTTAGCACTTTATTCTGGTTGCACATATTCTTTAAAATGAAGTTCTAGACACACTCCTTACAAAGTTGGATTCCACGCGCACCTTACAGTGCTTGGTGTCTATGCCTCAAGAAAGGTAATTCTTATAAGAATATGCCATGTTTTTATCTCTATTTCAAACGGAAATGCATCACGCTTCCTACTAACTGCACAGCCTTTGAGGTCTCTTCAGGAACAATTGCTTAGATTCCTGTTACTAGCACTATGCTGGTACTTTATCACTGTCGTCCTGTTACTTGTGGGCATCGGTCATAATCTCATGATTAATATTTGGGGTTTAACGTCCCAAAACCGCCATATGATTATGAGAGACACCGTAGTGGAGGGCTCCGGAAATTTTGACCACCTGGGATTCTTTAACGTGCACCCAAATCTGAGCACACGGGCCTACAGCATAATCGCCTCCATCGAAAATGCAGCCGCCACAGCCGGGATTCAATCCCGCGACCTGCGGATGAGCAGCCGAGTACCAAAGCCACTAGACCACCATGGCGTGACAAAAAATTAGGACAATTGGTACCAAAGACTGTAATAGGGACGCTTTTCCAGCGCGTTCCACACAGGCCTAGCGCGTTTTCTCTCTTTTTTTTTTCATTGAAGCTTCTGCGTAATAATGTAGGCAATAGTGAACAATCAAACTGGCTGGAGAAAGACAATATTTCTTGCTTTATTAACAGCACTGCAGTTCTCTCCGGTATGCCATCAATTTGAGAGGCCTGCTCTTCTTGCGTATGGTTGCACGGGTCAGCCAATTACTCTGGCCCGCTTCTGACTCAACCAAGCGACAGACTTGCGGCCGATTGGGAGTCGGCAGCCACCACCCTAGTCTGGGTCCGCAGACAAAGACAGGCTCGACCCTTGTCCCTTCACCCATACGAAGAGGTACGACAACCTGGGTCTCTGCAGTGCCGCGGCAGTGAAGGCGCCTTTCGAACAACGCCTAACTGCCTACCAGGTCTCGCAGTGTACGAGAGTAACCTCGACCACGAGTCTGGTAGCTACGCTGGGAGCTATAGGTCTACTTAAGCAATCTGAACCAGAATTCTGATAAGGGCGGTTATGAAACGTCACAGGTCGATGCACTGGCGTAGCCAATGGGGTGATGGGTTGTCTTTGAGTCCCATCTTCCCCATGAAGTGTTTCGATTTCGTATTTCAACAAAAGCACACACACACAAAGTACGATTCAACTCTCCCCTACCAACAAAAATTTCTGGCTCTGCGTAGTCCAAAACTTTATCTTGTGGCTTAGTCGCTATTTCTTACAGGATATGTAATGGCGCCCGTGTCATCGTCTATATGTTTATCTCTCTCCCTCTATCTTTTTCTGTGCTTGCACCTGCTTATCTCATCCATGAATTTCAATAAGCTTGATTATAGGGCTAGTTGGTAATTCATTATTTTTCCGTATGGTTCAGTAGCGCAGTTTTTAACATGGACAAGAGCAGTAAGGATGACATGACACTCGCTACACTCGCAACTAAATTTGTTTCAGAATAAAGCTTCATATATATGCACCCACGCTGACGCCCAGCGACACAGAAGAGAAATAACAGGTACTGAAAACTTATCCCATAATAACTTTTTGAGCACTTGATGATAAAATAATCGTGTCACGTGTAAAAATGATCTTAACAATGCATGCGTTTTTACCCACGAAACACAACATGCGCATAACTCGAGCGATAAAACGAATCTGTGTGGCCTATACACTTCAAAGAATTAAAAACAAATAACATGTCCCTTACCCTGAACTTTACCCCGAACCATAATTTTTATGTTTTCTCTGAGTAATCTCCACCTTACATTGTTCACCTATGCTTGTAGGTAAGTATTGCGTAAGATTGAAATTACGGCTCACACCTACCATGAGCGCACTATCAGTTTGAACACCCAATGAACCCAGCCTCAATGCAACGATTCCGCTCAAAAGTTTTCTATACAATCATGTGTGAAAACCGTCAGGGTGTTCTTTGGGGAGTAGGTGCACTGTTGCCCAAAAAAAATTTTGTATCATCTCAAGCGTGAGTAGCCAATCGCGGGCATCGGCGCTCACTCGTATTGTTAGAGCAGAACCAGCGTATCCAAGGACGCAATTATTAGACTAATGCAGAGTCCAAAACTAGTTAAAGTGGATAACAAACTAAGTGATCACTGCGTTGGCTCAATTTGAAACTTATATACTACTACATATAAACCCGAACCTGCATAAACTGCTAACCTAGTGGCACAGAAAGGTCATACATGCACCAGTGCTAGTTTTATTTTTATATACAAACTTTTAAGGAGTCTTTCAGCAGAAATATTCGTCAACATTTACCCTAGTCTTGAATTACAGCTTTTTTTTATATCTAGGTACTTTTTAGGAAACTTAAGTAAACGGGTGCTTATAAGCCTATCAAACTTGTGCTTATCAACTCGTCATTATCAACCTTTCTGCAAGCACCCTACAGCTTCATTTTTTGCTTGCTGCTCTCCCCCCCCAAAAAAAACTTGACCTGTGACCTTGCTGTCAGCAGCAGAACACCATGCAATCAAACCAGAGCGGCAGTTGATGATAATACTCTTCTACGGTAGCTGAAACTGGCACTCCGATTACCAGGCACCTGTGCACCTCATTACAATAGCATTCAAATGTCTAATTTGTGTGGAAGAAGCATTACGTCTTCAGATACAGTAGCAAGGTTTCTTACCCACACAAGTGTCTTAGCCATCGACTTCATACCCCAGGTATTTTTGCTTTCTCTAACCAGGGTCATAGACTTTGATGGTCTCAAGGTCCGGGTTCATCTTTCACTTAACAATGACGTAGGGGTAAGCGTAATAGACAATGTCGTCATCTCCATTTATTGCGGTGGCCTTCCAATGCTGGTTAAGCAAGTTAGTCACCATAGCAACATCATCAAAGTCCCACGGCTGGGCAACTAGCGTACCATAATGCTAGTCTCTGAAGGCGGCACAACGCCATTCCGCGTGAGAGAAGAAACTTTCATCACGTGATCCATCCATTCACACCAATACCACTCCAGTGTCATAAACGTCAAAAGATCAGTCAGGTGAGTGGAGCCTGCAAGAACGTGGTGGTTTGCCCTCGCTTTACAGAGCCACACAATTCGCATCCTCCCGAGCAACAACCCTGAAGTGTCCCAACTACCATGGATCACAGAAAACATCAAGAGATTGGCCATTTGTGCAAAAAATAGAGAGTCGTGAATAAGATGATACACAGCGACTCAATGCTTAAACAGGTGGTTGAAATTGTGAAAAATAAGCAACCACGTTCGCGACGACCGTCTACTGTGGACCTATATGAACGGACAACACGATCTCCTACAACGACAGACTTTCCTTAAGCAACGGTTACCAGCCCTTTTGCCACCACTCCAGCCTACTGCATCGAATCGGAGAGCCGAAAAGATACAGATGATTTGAAAGCGGCAGCAGATGTCACGTGGCCCTCACTGCTACCACTGCACACTTATAAAAAGCCGGTGCAGAATGCCCCGCAGTCTGCATGATTGTCCAGAGATAGTTTTCATGGCGAAAACCAGCAAGTATTTGCTTCGTCTAGGTCTCTCATTACCATGATGTGTGCTCTCCTCAACACAAGGCAACTCCGTCAGCCCAATACGCACTGCAAGTTCTCGATTCCTTTTAGCCAGTCCTTGCAAGCCCCTTTTGAAGGTCTTGTATTCTAGTCTAAATTTAGACGACAGCAGATGAACTGGTCTCAAATTTTCCCCAGTTGTGACTCTCTATGTGTGCGCGGTGAACGTAGAAACATGCGTGCCTGTATGATTTGTTCTCTTGCCTCTTCGTTTTCCCTGTTCTTTTCCTCCCCTTTGCACTTCCCCTGCCCTGTGCGGGGTAGCGAACCGGCTACAGTCTGGTTAACCTCCCTTCCCCTTGTGTACTTGTCCCTCTGTCTTTGTTAGGAACCACGCGTGGTAAATGACCCTTGCCAGTAACAACAAAGGTGCCGTAACTCCCGAAAATTGGTTCTCAAAGATAACAACGCGACAACACTCAGTAGCTGAGTTACCTTTGACTTAACAATTTTACACCGTCTGACTTACGACGAGCATCAGTTGAAGGCAAGTTTAAATAAGCATTCTTTTGTTTTTGTTTTTTCAAACAAACTTCGCTTTCGAGCAAGCTGTACCCTCCAATTATTACGATATGGCATGTGGTTTGTCCCACAGCCAATTGGGCAATACGGAAACATTTGTGTCCCAAGTCTAACTAGTCACTCTATTTTCCAGCGAGCGTCAAACTCTTTAATCTTCCTGCCTCTCTCTTTCTAGCTGCTTGAAACTTCAGCAGTGCTTATTACACTCATTCACACGCCTGCATCAAACGTAAAGGGAGCATGTCAAACAGAGAAGGCAAAACTGTACCGCAACTTTTTTTTTTTTTGCCATGAACATTCACTGTATATGAGAGGGCCGAGAGTAAGCTTGAAGATTAAAATACACAAAGATCGTTTCAGGTCGCCATCCATCATGTCTTCGGATGAGTGACGAAGTTTTCAGTTTCGAGATCGAAAATTCTCCAAAGACTCCCATTCCTAGAATTCGAAACATTTCCAGAATGAAATGATGCATATGCAAAATGT